ACAAATTTCAGTGACTTGCCCAGGGTCCCACCAAGTATGTAGCCCAGTCCTCATGCCACTCTACCTTTTGAAACTCGGCCCTCACCAAGCAGAGAAAGCTGCTAATTCACCCTCATAAAGATATTTCTGTCAGGAGAGAAGGGAACCAGCAACCACCCTTTTCCTGGGTCTTCTCACCGTGGAGAGTGCCTCCACCTCTGGCACCATCTCAACTCTCAAAGCCATAAGCCCACACAACAGCCAAGAGTAGAGGAAGAAGCCAGTGTCGGAAATGTCTCTGTGTCCTGAGAAAGGTGCAGTGGACATCGCCGTCTCTTGAGCAGAATGGATGCAGGTGCCGTCTAGCTCTGGATAGCCTTCCAAAGACCCCCAGTTGTTCCAAGGGATCCCTGGGGCAAGTGCATGACCTCTCCTCCCTCAGGGCACTTGACACTTTTGAGCCTATTGAGCAGGTGTATTCGTGCACCGGCACCTCCCCTTCCAGGCCAGGGCTCCTGGAAGCAAGATCTGCCCTTCACCATTCCCCGCAAACCTAGGGCCCAGGGAGAGCTCAATATACATAGTGCAGAATGAGAAAATGAAAGAGCAAAGTGGGAACTTGCCAGAGAAGGGCTTCTTCTCTCCCTGCAGTCTGGTGGAACACCCTGATGGCAGGCCTTGCAGATTGGTGGCATGCCATGGCAAATGTGGGAACCAGAACCATTAGTCACACACAGCCAGTGCCTGGAAGCCTGGGACTGAGACTGTTGAAGAGTGTGAGTGATTCTCTGTGCTTGCTCAGCTTGGCTGAAAACTCATTTTCTCCCCTCTTCCACCCTAAAGGGCTCCCTCACAGAAGCCAACTCATTGTGAAAGATCTCTGTGGCCCTTGAATCACTCTGTAGTGACTCCCCCCTCACTGCTGTGGGGGTCATGATGCCCAGAGGGGAAACAAAGTCAGAGCATGGTAGATTCCTTCTGAGAGTTGGGGCTGAGCAGGAAGAGAGGGTGCTTCCAACTACTGAGTCTGACCTTTAATGTCCGGACCTACTTTACTGTCGCAGAGCCAGACTTCTAGAGTCAGGCAGGGCACACATGTCCAGCCCTGGCGGTGATCTGAGCCAGGCTGGTCCCAGGAACCCGAAGCTGGCTATCAGCCACTCCTCTTCAACTGGTAACTGAAGTCAATTATGCAGATAATAGGATGGATGTGGCGGGGTTTCTTCATCACATACATTATTCTAATAGAAATGCATACCGCGACCCGAGCTTTGTGACAGTCCATTTTAGAAGACTTTTGCCGAGCAAATCAAGTGCGCAGTGAGAAATTGGAGAAAGCATTTTTCCTTAGCAGTATCTGCCAGCTCTATCCTAAGCAGCCAGAACCCAGACAAGCCTCAGCTGCGAAAAGGGATGCAGAACACTCCCCCTCCCCTCTTCTGAGCCCACTAAATGGTCCAGAGGAATCTGAGATGTGGTTGGTGCCCATCCGTTAAATAAATGCCTTTTACCCAGGCTGGCCATTCTTTCTTGCTATCTAAAGCATTGCTGTTCCCTCAGTCCACATTCAGACACACACCTTTTTGTCAGCTACTTAAAATCATTAAGTGAACTTAATTAGGTTTGTCAATCCCTAAGGCTGCCAGGGTGGCAAATAAGGCATTATATTCACTGTCCATTAACAGTCTGTTGCCTGAACGAGACTGTGTGTTTTCAGAGCTGTGCATGAGTAGCCTCACCATTTCCTACGCAGAGATCTGCCCAGTGAGTCTGGGAGACACCCAATTTCAAGGCTGTCCCCTCTAAACCTGGCCCACTGCCCCAGTGGCCACCTCCCCATATCCCCCGGGCCAATTTTCAACAGGACTCTCTGAGCAAGAACAGAGTCAAGGGGTATATTCTTTGTGTGAAGACAGGCTCCAACCAAGATCTCAAGCCAAGTCTGTTTTTTGTTTTTTGTTTTTTTTTAAGCCAAGTCTGTTTTATCAACAAGTTCCAAACCCCACCAGCTGGAAAAAAAAAGAAAAAACAACAATAATCCGTGCAATCAAAAGTGTCTTATTTGGAAAAACTGGAAGAGCTGAGCAGGTGTGAACTATTGAGGGGCAGGGAGTGAAATCAATTGCTAAAGGCTAGAAAGAGCTCAGCTGCCATGTTCTTAAATAGCACAGGTGAGTGAGGAAGCTGGAGGAACCCCAAAGAGTTCGCTCTTCCCTTCTCCTTGACCAGGCTGCCCACGGAGAGGGAGGGCTAGGTTCTTTCTAGCCATGGGGGCTCGGATTTCTTTCTCCACACAGAGCTAAGGCTTTGGGATAAAGAGCAGTGGAGTAACCAAATGTTTGTGAGAACCTGACCTCCGTAATCCTGGCAGTAATGTGGCATGGACGTTGTCTTTCCTTAGACCCAAAGAAGTCCACCTGGTACATGCTAGAACTTTGTCTCAGAGCACTCCACCTGGTACATGCTAGAACGTTCCCTCAATCCTAGAGCAGTCTAACTGGTGCATGCTAGAACTTTCAGTCTCAGAGCACTCCACCTGGTACATGCTAGAACTTTCCCTCAGTCCTAGAGCAGTCTAACTGGTGCATGCTAGAACTTTCAGTCTCAGAGCACTCCACCTGGTACATGCTAGAACTTTCCCTCAGTACTGGTGCATGCTAGAACTTTCAGTCTCAGAGCACTCCACCTGGTACATGCTAGAACTTTCCCTCAGTCCTAGAGCAGTCTAACTGGTGCATGCTGGAACTTCCTGTCAACCTCAGAGCACTCCACCTGGTACATGCTAGAACTTTCCCTCAATCCCAAAGCACTCCACCTGATATATGCTAGAACTCAAGACCTGAGGCCACGGCTGACCCTGGAGAGTGAGCTGGTATCTGTACTTCTGGGGGAGCGCAACAGGAAAGACAGGTTGCACCAGAAAAACTGAGAGCCTTGAGGAAGTTGCCCCCATCTTCAGCAGGGAGGGGGAAGCAGAGCCAGGAGCAATCTCTTCTTCCCCTGGGGTTCAGCTGAAGACACACAACCAGGTACCATCCAAAGCAGAGAATCCTGAATCTCCTGAATCTGGGTGGCCCCGATGGCCACCCGGCCTCTCGGCTAGTGCCCCCACAGAACAGAAACTCCCAGATGGGTCCTGCTGTCTCCTCCCTGCCCCAGCACCTACCATCCCCAGACCCCATTCCCAGAATGCCTCTGCTCCACCCCTGCGGTCCCCACACCCCAGCATGACCCACCTTCGTCCCCCCACGCCACCTCCCCACCCCATCCCCTCCCTGCAGCCTCTGGAGTCTTGGAGCATTTGGGGCAGTGTCGGCAGGGTGGCCTTGTGGGTGGACGGAGGCCGCATTGCATGTTTACGTCTGATTCGACATCTGACTGAGTCTTCCCTGATTGTTAGGAGTGTTCCTGACTCCAACTAGTGCAATTCCCCGTGTCAATCAAACTCTTTTAAACAGCAGCTGCCACTGTTGTTGCCTTGCAGAGCACTTTAGAAACTCTTCTATTTAGAGACCATGCCAGCCCCAGCCTGCATCACGCCTTCCATGCTAAGAGGCCCAGTGGCGGCTTGAGAACCTTGCAGCCCTAATCTCTCAGTAATGAAGAAGGAGGGCAGACAGAAGGGAGGGAGAGCAGAGAGGGGAGGGGAGCCATGCAGTCTCCCAGGAAGGGCCCAGTTAGGGCAAAACAGGGGTTTTGTCCCTCTCCCCCATGCTCAGCAGGCACGCACACAGGTAATTCACTCGCTCCGGGCCCAGGCCGCCTGCAAGGTACGCCCGTGATGCTTAGCACCTGCCCGTCCCCTCAGCCTGTGGATAACAGATGAGGAGGTGGTAACCCAGAGTGGAGAAATCGGAAAGGTGCACTGTGGGGCCTTACCCACTGCTCTTCCACCCAGGGATGTGATTCTTTCTAGTTTCCATCCCCAAGTGGCTCCGTGCACCTGTTCTCTTGCTGCCTGCAAGTAGCATCTCTCTCACCCTGGCAACTGCTGTAAACAGAACAAGACGACAGTGTTAGGGCCCCTGTTTGCCCCCTGAGGATCCCAGGCCTGGCTGTGTCCCAGGTGACACGGGCTGGAGCTGGGAGCTCATCTGCCAACAGAGTCCCCCCGGGAAATCTAAGGAAACCGTGACCTTGCCGTGGCTCATGGAGAAGCCTGATGCTGTGCGTGATACACACATGCCGCTCACCATTTTTGTGTCCTTCCGCACCCCTCAGCCACGAGCCACCAGGGCCGGGCCATGCGCTGAGCTGTCCCTCACTCCAGTTCCTCTGCCGCAGATGTCCTCCCCTCACGGTTCCCCGGCCCCACAAGCACACCTCCGAGTCCTCGCCTTCCTTCTAAACCAACTTAAAGGCTGCCTTCTCTGTGAAGAAACCTCAGTAGGTTTGCTGTTAATACTTACAGCCTGCTCTGTGTTGGTTGCAAACACTCCCAGGGATCAGAGTCAAATTATTTAATATTTAACAACGGGTCAGGCACCGCACAGAGCAAGCCCAGTGGAGACACACTGGATAAGACACCAGATCCTTGAGATCCTTCCCCCACCCCGCTGTGCGGGGGGTTAACTTTTCAGTTGCTGAATAATGGGGAAAACTAGAGGTACCAGGGAAGGAGCCAGGGGACACGTGGGGGACAGTGGCCCTTTATCAGTTGGTACAGAAATATTTTAATAATGACTTCGGCTCCACCAGGGGGTACCCACTGAATATCAAGCCTACCCATTTCTACCCACCCTCCACACCCAAAAAGTGAAAGAGGTCTCCTCGGAGCTTCAGGGAGTACTGGAACCAAGCCCCCAAACTCCAGGATGGATTAACCTATGGAACAATCCCTCAGAAAGGAAGTAGGGGGAGCCGTGCACTGTTCCCCTCTCACAACTGCTCTGTGATTAGGGGAGGCTCACATGAAGGACTGCTATGAGCCAGGCATTGGCACACATCCACCAGATGCTGAGTCCTACCAGGTGACTGACCCACGCTGTTTCTCACACACGCTCCTCTTAACACACCTACAGGTTCTGGCTGCAGATTGTTGTTTGGTGGGGGCAAGGATCCAGAGCCACCGTGGCTTTTGACAATATCTCCATCAGCCTGGACTGCTACCTCACCAGTGAGTTCACCCTGTCCCTGGCACTTGTCCCCAACCCAGACAACCCCGGGCCTCACTTACCCTCCTTATCCTGAGCCCCCCTGCCTCTCCCACCTTCCCCGGGGGCATGCTCTGCTCTCTCCCTTAAACCAGGCTTCACTTAACTCAGCCCACGGGGTCTTCTCTATTCTAGTCAGTGGGGAGGACAAGATACCACAGGATACGGCACCCAAATCAAGAAATCTATTTGAGAGAAATCCAAACAAGGAGCCAAAAGCCTGGGACAGTACAAGAGAGGTCCCCGTCTTTGACCCCACAGGTAAGGGTTCAACTTACAAATTTGAGCAAAGTCATTTTTTGTTGTTGTTGCAAAAGGCAGAAGAAAGATACGGGTTGTGATGGCAGTGGGGGGCTGTGTTTAAAGAATAAAATAGTCAGCCTTTAAAAGGACCATCATCTCTACCCTGGCTATAGGGCTCTAAGGGGAGGTTGTTTGGGTCTCTCATTGCCTGGCTGAATGGAGCGTCTGGAAGTTGAGCAAAGGAGCAACTCTCCTCTGTGCCTGGGGAATACCCAGGCACCAACACGGGAGAACCAAGCTGATCTCCTTTCCTCAAACTCGGTCCCTTGAAACCACTCCCCATTTACTGAACAAAGGAAACCTTACATCAGACTTCTTGTGAAGGGGGTTGGGCCCCAAACCAACGTTATTTGTTGCACAAAGCCAGGCTAGCCCATCACGGGTAAAGGCCCCGAAACTTCAGGTTCAACACATTTCCCCAAACCTTGGCTCCCTTCCAAAGCTGTCTGTTTCAGCATCTTCCAGATTGAGGGACTTCTCATGGGGACTCTTGCTGCTTCAAACACAGGCTTCTTCAGCCTCTGGCTCTAAACCATGGTGTGACTTCTCAGCTATTCTTTGTACAAGGAGGAAATCTCCTAGAATCAGTCTCCAGAGCCAGTATGATGTTCCTTGGCAGTTATTAGACCTGTGAGCCTCGCCCCAGAGAAGCTGGGGCCCGACACCAGCAGGTCAAGGGGTTCCCCCAGGTGGGCTGGGTGCCTGGGTATGGGAGTGAAGTGAGTAACCTGGAGAAGCACGTGTACAGCACTGTCCACCCACACTCTTTTTCCAATAAAGTATCACTTTATTAAAATAACATTAGATAAATGGTAAATTTCTACTTAAAATGTAAAATCCTTGTTTAGTGCAAAGTACAAAGAAAAAAACAAGTGGAGACTTAACACCTTCACACTAAATTCATTGACTCTCAACTTATTATGTAAATATCAGCTTTGCTTTGTCTTCTAAGAAAGAAACCCCTCCTTTCTCTGGCTGAAAAACCACACCAGGTGTAGCTCTCTCTGTCCTCGATTCCTGCCTGATCTAACCCGGCAGCCAGACCAGGGGGAAAAAGTTCATTGCTTTTCCCCCTCACCTCTCCCCCCCTCCTCCCTTCACCTTTAACTAAACCCTCAAAACACTTTTTCATTTGTCTACATGAAGGGGAACCTGCCACCTCCATTTCCCTACTCTGCCTTATCATTCATGAAAACAGCTAAGGTGAGGGCTGCAGCCTCCTGTCCATCATTTGCCACCCCTCCCCTCCCTGCCACCCACCCCAGGGATGGACCTCCAGGACTCCCTGGGCCCTGGTCAGCGATTGCCTCCCTGCAATGCATTCAGGACACATTCAGCAAACCTCATGGCAGGCCCCGGCCCTGCCTCACCACCAACACTGATTACATAGCAGGAGCTCCGGAAACACTTACAGATTGGTGGACTGACAGGGTGACGGGGTGGGTTGGGGTGGGTGGCCCTTGAGGCTTGAGCTCAGTTCTTGGATGTTGGCAGCCAGCACTTAGGAGCAGCCATCCCCGCCGCTTGACTCCCCAGTTTATTGCCATATAATTCCCACTGTCCCTAAAAGGCTCATTAATGAGGGTCCACGCAGTGGCCACTCAGACTAATGAAATCATGCAGTGGCTGGAAAGCGGCGATGCTCCCCCACCACCTCCAAATAAAATTGGAAGCGAGTAGCTGCCTGAGAGGCTGGAGCTTCCTTTACTGCCCAACCCAGCCTCAGAGCAGGAGGCAGGTGGCTATGGGACAGTGTTCTGTCTCCAGGCCCCCTTCTGGAATGACCCCGCCTCTAAGGGAAGAGGAACTGAGGCAGATACATCCCCAAGCAGCCTTAGTGGGTTCCTTGGAAAGGCTTTAGAAAACTGAATACAGAGACAATGATTTCCCAGGAACCCGCTCTTGCACAGGGGAGCTCGAGGGCAGGAAGAAACTGAGGCAGGCTCCCAGCCCCTGCCCCTGCTGACGGATGTCCCAGCCCCACCATGCTGCCCACCCCTAGCACCCTCTGAATCATCAGGAGAAGGAGGAGCAGGGTCGCCTTTCCCCACCCCCCACAGGCAAAGCCCATCACGCCCCCTGAGGTGCCACTTGGCCAGGACCCAGCCTCGGGGTCAAGGAGAACAGGCCACCCTGGGTCTATGCCGTGGCCCTCCCTCGCCTGGCTTTCATCTAGACCTACACACAGCTCCTACACACTTCTTCTGGGGCCAGTTACGTGCTCAGAGATGCTGAGCCGAGCAAGACCCAGGTCAGGCGGTCAAAGAACTGCCAGTGTACAAGAGGAGAGCGCAGGTAGAGGGGGAGGGGCGCCTGCGAGCCAGCAGGTCATGGCCAGCAAGGGGAAGCTGAGACCAGTTCAGAGCTTCTGCCTTCCTGAGGGCCTCTAGAAAAGAAGGGAGGGCTGCGGTGGGAGGGGAAGGGGAGAGGAAGAGCGATTGAGGGGTCTGCCTGCCTGACTCTGGGCTGGGGTGTTTCATACACCAACCCATCCAGACCTCACTCTGGCTGGGGAGAGTTGGTGTCATTACCACTGTGGGATGAGAAGATGGTTTAGAGGGATGAGTCCCCCCACTGGTAGGGAATGGAGCCAAGATGTGACCCTGAAGTCTACGTTCTTTCAGCCAACTAAGCCATTCCAGGTGGCCAAGTCCAGAGATGAACACTGAACATGGGAAAGAGCAGGAAAGCATCCCTACAAAAGGCCTGCATGTCCAGTAAACACGTCAGCTCCCAGCCTTCAACAAAGGATGGGGGACCCCAAATAACAAGATTTCCTTCCCAAAGTTCAGCGCTGTCAGTTTCTGCTGGGCTGGAACAAGGTCAGCTGGTGGCATTTCAGCTCTCCTCCTGGCAGGGGTTAGAGCAGCTCCTGGAAACACAAAAGGTACATGGGGGCTTTTGAAAACAGTCACCCACAACACATCCAGGTCTCCCTAAACACTCTGCACGTCCCCAAAGTCAGCCCCATGACAAGGCCCTGACCTCTGGGTCTGGGGGTTCCCTCACCCCAAAGCCCATGGGGCGGAGCTGAGCCACTAGAGCATCGAGGCAGGGAAAAGCCTGTCCAGGTGCTTCCTGAAGCATTCTCGGAAGCCTGAGTCACTTTAGCTAATCAGATGAAGAAACTGAGAGAGAAAATGGGGCAAGTATTAAGTCTGGGAAAATTACATTTGTCAGCTTTGCACATACAATTACACTAACCAACTGCTTGGGATAATGCAATCACGGGGCTGCAGAGTTTCTCTCTCTCTCTCTCTCTCTCTCTCGGCAGTAAAGAAAGTGCAAACAGGCTCTGCCACCCCCTCAAAGCCCAGATAAGGACAGGCAGGACCCCCAAGGCCCATGACCCTGCCTCAGCTTCCTTACCCTTCTCTCCTCCTGTGAGCTCACATGTTGTATAGGGAGAGCAGGAGGGAATCAGCTCAGAAAACTTACAGAAGAACCAGCTCAAACCTTCGGCCCAACCCACAAGTATCAGTAACTCATGGAACCCTGGCATCAAACCACACTCTCGCTTCTGAGTTGGTTAGTGATGGTTGGTTTACTGTTTTCTGAGTACACATCTCTTGCCGAAGGGCAGGGGGGCAATTAAAACTGTGTAGGATCACGAAAAGAGCACTAGACCAGGAGTCAGCAGCTCTGCGCACAGCCTCGGCAGGCCTGCACTAGCCGGCTATGGTCCTGGGGTGGGTCCTGCCTCTGCACAGCCTTCTCTCTCCTCATCTAACAGCTGGGGCATGTCAGCAAACCCCCACATAGCAGAGCTCAGAGGAGAGGCGCTAATGGCAACACAGGCAAAGGCAAGCAAACTGCTTCTTTTATAGTCCAGGCTTAAAGTAGACAGTCTCCAGGCCCCTCCCCATCACCAGCCCCTAAGTTTTAAGGGCTGAAGGGATAAGGGTGTAAGGGACCCAGAGCTTTCTTGGCCTATCTCTCTAATTAACCCATGGCACTGCTAATGTGCCCAGAAGAAAGGGTGACAGACTGTCCATTTCCCCACATGCTCCTATGATTCAAGAACAGATGCCAATTTCAATGAGAAAGTTTTATGTGTTTCATATAAATTGATTGAGTCTATTTCTGCTAAATGCATTATCCATTCACCACAGAACAACTATTAGAGCTAATAGAATTTGTAGCTAGAGCCATTATGGTCCAAGCGTGCTCTTCTGGGGATGACAGCATTGTTGCAAGGCAGGCTTGCCAGGGCCCGGCCCCCTGGCTCAGAACCTGTCTTCTCATTTCCACCAAAGCCTTCTGCGCTCAGGCACTGCAGGCCCAGCCAAGCTCACTTCGGCGGCATACCCAAATAGTGAGGAGTCACCGAGTTCCTGAACAAATAAATGTATTCTAATCCAGTCCCAAACAAATCATAGCATCCTATCATCTGTTGGCACTGCAGACAGCTACCTACAAGCTGGAGGGAGCTGGGGTCCCTGCTTTCGCCTTAGCTCTTTACTGTGTGCCGGTCTGGGAGGCAGGAGGCCCCCCGCCATGGGGAGGACAGGAAATAAGTAAGGATAGAAGTGCAGGGGAGCCCTACTCATCCCGGCGGTGGGGGAGTGGGGGGACTCTGATTGGACTCTCAGCTCCATTGCATCATTGACAGCCTTCCCCAGAGGTGCCCAGTGACAGAATCTGGGACTTACTGAGTGCAGCAGGGACCCAGATCCACCCCAGGCTTTCTCCAAGTGTCTCCTCACGCCATCTGCTTCGGGTCACCTTGCGAGGAGAGGGAGGACCCAGAAGTGCAGCTCATTCAAAATGAAGCTTCCTGGTCCCCACGGACCTGTGGAATCTGAATGTCTAGGAAGAGGAGGTCACACTCTGCATTTTTAACAAACTCTCAAGGAAAGCCGGATTTGAAATAAAGTTTCGCAACCCCAAAGGGCAGCCTGACCTCTTGAAAACAGATGAGGAGGAGCCTAGGCCTGGGGAAGGTGAGGGGCTGGCTC